GTAATAGGTGACCGCCCGGTGCCTCCGATAAGAAAGTGAAAACTAAATGGGAGGCACAAATACAAATAAATTGTAAAAAGTATAAAGCGAACGATACACACAAAACCAATGCTCGTCGTCTCATTTCCTGCCCGTTTTCATCGCACAGAGCACACGTCTGCCGGAGTCGGGTGAAATTAAATTTCAAAGGCCCGGGACCATTAGACGGCCCATTACAGCTGCCCCCTCGCCTTTTTGTTCAGCTACTGTCTGTCTGTCCAGTCCAGTCCAGTCCAGTCGTGTCCTGCCCCCAGGAACCCAAGGAACCCATGAACCCAAACCCCAAAACCCGCCCACTTTTAGGGCTGGACACAGGAACCCGCAAACATCCTGTTGATGTCAGCAAATTTTATTTATTTGTGGTTCGTGTTGTATTACAGCATTTTAGAGCAATTAAAATTGTACAATGGCCAGGGCATTTTGCATGGAAGAGTCTGCCCAAAAAAAAGAAAAAAAAACGACTTGGCCACAGTCTATTTGGCCGCATTTTTTAGATCATTTAGCGGCCAAAAGTGCCTAATGATATATTGACTTTACCTGCCCACGCCTCCCGTTTATGTTTCAAACTTTAATGGCTGTTCTTGGTCTAATTGCCCGCGGCGGGAAGGTAAAACTCATTAGATTAAGTGATAGCATTTCTCTTTATGGCCCTATATCTCGCCGCGAATTAGCTGGCCATTGAAAAATGGCCAAGGATGCTGGTTGCCCAGAAAAAAAAAAAGAAAAAGTAAGTAGAAAAGTCCAAGTGGAAGTGGTTTTCCCCCATAATATCTCTAATTCAAATGGCCGAGAATTGTCAATGCAAAAGCTGCTAGGAAATTGCAACTGCTTACCATTGTTATGTCGTTTCTGGCCTACTTCTTCAGAGCCCCTTTTGGTTTTTCTGCTTCGCTAACAAGCTTACGGACGGATGGCCTACAGGCTCATTTCCCAAATGTAAGCCAAAAAGGGGGCCTCGTTCCATTTTATTAAAGTTTCAAGGCTTACTACGCGGCGTATGAGTGATACTAAAAACGAAGCAACAGCAATTCAACGGCAGAAGGACACATTCTAAACACTCGTCGGACTTTGGCACTTACACAGAGAATATTAATTCTGTAACTATTTCTAAAACAGTATTTAAAAATAAAACAACAAATGATGATTTTATAAAAAAAATCAATTGAAACGATTGTGAAAACGAGAAAACGTATCAGTAAAGATATGTACTTTATTGGGTTGCAAATGTTTATTTCTAGATCAAATCAGAGTCAGAGTTTTTGACCATTTTGGTAGTATAAATCATTGGTGATTGTATAAAATACAAAAATGTTAGATAAAAAAATGGAATTAGAACAATTACTTTAAGAATTTTTATTTATAAACCCAAATCATATATATATATGAAATTGGAATATAAATGTTCGTTTTAGTAAGTTGATATATATTTAATTGGTTGTCACAGTTTTTGTTACTTGTTTTTTTTCTCTGCAATAGTAAAAAACACGCATATGGAATGGGATTCTCTTTGCAGTTTTCACCGAACAATGTGCAAAAGTTGTAAAATTTGTTGTTTTGCGCCAAGGGGCGCACACCCAAGATACATACACAACACTCAGACTCAGGGGCGAAAAACGAAACGAAAAACTCGAGGGCCTGTCGAAATGTCTTGGGGTGTGGCAGCGACAAGTCCGTGAAGAAGTCCGGAGTCCAGAGTCCGGAGTCCTTAGTCCGGAGTAGGCACTCGCCTTTATTGGAGTGCAATGAGCTGTGGCCTGGGTCTCTCGTCGTCCTGTGTTCCCAAAGTTGTTGCGCACAACATGCTTAATTAGTTTCTGAAACCAAAAGGGGCCTGTGGTTCTGGGGGTTAGAGGTCATGCCGGCATATCCTGGCCATGTGTGAGCACACCAAGTGAAAATAATTTGCGGCTTCCAGTTTCGGTTGGCCAGCGAGGGTTTTTAATTAAAAGTGCCTGTGCTACCATCCGCCATCCGCAATCCGCCAGCCTCCATCGTCCCATCCATCATCAGCAAGCCCCAGAACGTAATGCAAATGAGCGCCAAGTAGCCGCCGCCGCTTCCATGGACGCAGGAAGATTCGCATTGGAGATGCGGTTGCTGTGTTTACGGCGGAGTCCAGAACCCTGAATCCCGAATCCTGTGCCGTGTGTTCAGCCAACCAAAAAGCACCAGCAAACGGCGGCGGAAGCGGATGCCATAAACTGCTGCCACCGCACGGGTCGAAAATAAAATGGCTGCCGTGCGGGAAGCGGCTTTCAGTGAGTCATACACTCAAAAAAAAAAACCGCAAAACTCTTAAGCATTCTATCTTTGAAACTGGGAAATATTGTGCAAAAATCAACATGTGAGTTACCACGTTATTCAGTTAAGAATCCAAGTAAATATATATTTTTTAATATTTTAAAATCGTTTTCATAGCTTTCGGATTAAGGCCAATTTTAAGTGCTACTAAAATAATTTCTTTTTGTGCATAGAAATGTGCAGCGGGCCCCATGACGAATGCTGGTCCACGGGAAAGGGCTCAAAGTGGAACACACACACATTTTAATGACAACGACGTGGCCGACAATTCAGTTATGGGTCTCATGGCACACCCAGCACAACTCACAAAAACGAAATTGGGCTAGAGGGGTGAACCAATCAACTGATTTAGTGCACAATGGGTGATGGGCTGTCCTCATGCTCATCCTGTTCGTCCTGGGGTATCAGCAAATGCAATTCGTTTGCTGATTTGTCATTGTTTGGTATGCCGGTATGCCGACTGGGCTGTCCCCACAGCTCAACTTGAGCTGATTTACAAATGAAATCATACGCCATGGCGGGCATTTCGGTAATGAAAATTCAGCCATAGGGGAAATCATTTTTCCGGCTTTTGTTCTATTTTGGTTGTGTTTGGTTGTGTGCCTCTGCCTGTGCCTCCGCCCATGCATCCTTTTTTGGCAAACAGGACGAGTGAGCAGGCACCGCACACTTAATGCGATTTTTGCTGCTTGCTTGTTGCCTGGGCTTTTAGTTTTGTTGTGGTTGGAAAGTAGAAGGATGAGGATGTGGATGTGGAGCCCAGTAGCGTTGTGGGATTCGAGTGCGCTCTATAAATAAATTTCGTTTTAATAAACTTGTCATAATGGCGCTGTGCGCTGGCAGCGCAAAAAGTTTTAATAACGCTCCACAAACCTTGACGTTATTAAAATTTTACATGTCATGCCAGAAAGGATTAAATTCAACGCACAAGCACAAGGGCTTCCTGTGCGTGTGTGAACTGTTCTCGTCTCTCAACTCTCCTTTCTCCACTTTCCACTTTCACCGGATGTATTAAGTTATGCATTAAAATGGCACTAATGACGTTTATACAGCTCTGTCAGCCACGAAAAACTTTCCACGCACACAACACATCCTGAGGGAAGCTTTCCTCGAGTTACTTAATTGCAGTGACAACATTGAATGACGAAAAAAGCAAAGGCTTTTCACCCCTTTTGCTTCGCTGGCATCCCTTCAGGAATGAAAATCGCTACAAAAATGCTTTGCCTGCAATTTAAAATGTCTGTGTGGGTGGCACTGCGGCTTTTTACGGCAGCTGCTTATGTTTACGTGGCCATGTAATGACAGAGAAAACGGAAAGTCGGGGACACAGAGTTTCATTTTGTACAAATTGAGCAAATTCCGTTTAAGGCATTCCAAATAATTTAATTAAAAACACATTTCTGGCTTTGTTCTCGCCAGAACGACAGAGAATGACAAGGTATTTCCTGCTCCTTCCCCTTACTCCACCTCTCACCTCTTTTCACTGCATACTTGTGGGTGTGTCATAAAAAACACGCTCGGATGCCATTTCAATTAACTGCAGCGGTCCCAAAAATTGGTCCCTCCGATCACGATCCCTAGATAAATTACCGTGTGGAAAACTATCAAACAATGGCATACAAAATACCCCATGTCTGTGCTCCTTTTTGCCTTGGCTTCGACATCCAACACGAGTTTTACATTAAAACGCAAAGTTTTATTGCCAAACACAGCCAGGAAAAGTTTGCTCTATTTGTATAGGAGCCTTGTAAGTTTCTGGGCCTCATTCTCTTTCGTCGCACCACCCCCACCACCACCCCATCTCAATCTGCTAAGTGGTGTCCTTATCAGTTGTAGCTACAACATATTAGCTGCTTAATTTCACGGACGTGTGTGTGTGCGCGCCCAAGCAGTGTTGAAATGGAAAACTTTTGTTTATTAATTTGTCAATGGTGGCGGTCCAAGATTGTGTCTTGTCGATAAGGCTTACCTGTCTGTCTACTAAAAAACTTTTCTGTTAATATGAAATAAGATTTTGGGGGTGTTGCCTTTGCCTTTGATTTTGGAGAAAGGTTATTTTTAGAAAACTTTTGAAGTTGGGAGTCTTTAATAGTAAAGAACTTTAAAAAGTCAAAGAATAAAGCAAAACAAAACTTCTTAAGAATTATAGTTAGTTCACACATTGTCATAAGTTTCTGTGTTAAACAATAAATAAATATCTGCTTTCAGAGTGGGGTGGATTGACCTAGAAGGTAAAGAAGGAAGGATTAAGCCATGAGTTGGGAATCTTAAATTGTCAAGATCTTTAAGAAGTCCAACAAGCAATAAAGCAAAACAAAAGCTCTTAAGAATCTTAGTTAATTCACACATTGTCATAAGCTTCTGGGTTAAAAAATAAATACAAATCTGCATTGGTATATGGCAGGGTTGACCCAGAAGAGATTTTCCAGCCACTAGGGAGGTGGGTGGTTGTGGAAAGATCTCTCTGTTGACACTTGACGTCTGACACTGACGGCTGTGATGGATGACGACTGAGGGACGTGACAGTTTCATCAAGTGCAGCCAGGTGGTGCGACTGCAAGGCGTTCATTGATGACAACATTTACCGCACCGCAACAATGCATTTTCAATCCCTCTGACAAGCTCTTATCTTTTTTTTTTCTTTTTTGAACCCTTTTCAGATGACGCCACTGCCGGTGAGAAGGATACGTTAGGGGCGGCGGTGAACTATGGGAACAGAGGCATGGGCGTGTGCGCGGACCTTGGGTCTCATCGATGGTGTCGGGCATTGAGCACCCATCACAACAACACCCAGAAATCGAAGGAGCAGCAGCAAATCCAGCAGAGACCCTCCAGGAGTCCTCCAGGATCAGGAGCTATTGACACCACAACGAAGACGATTCCCGCTAGTGATACGCTGACGGCCTCGCCAGCGAAAACGGCTGCTTTCACAGTGAAAACAACGAGGAGAAGACGCCGACGACGGGCAGGCAGCAGCTCCATCTGCGTTCCCATTTGTAGCAGCAGCAGCAGCCAAAGGTCAACGATACAGGTGCTCCACTTTCTGTTGGTCTCGTTGCTGGCAGCCCTTCTAGCGAAAAATGCCCAGGCGCACAACATTCCAGGTGAGTAGTGCAATAAGTTGCTTGATTAAATTGCCACGGCAAATTGCTCAAAAGCCTCTCGACTATTCGCGGCCAAAAAATTTTATTTGAAAACTTTGATAAACTGTGTTGCATTTCATTGTTATTCTTTTTTTGCCTAGCGAATCGGCTAAAAATATCCGCTGATTGCTGCTGAAAACAGTGAAAAGGGCGCATGTGTGGAACTTGATTTTTACGCGGTGCTCGGAAAAATTTAATGGCGCACAATAAGCGGCTTACGTGCGACCAAAGCTGATTACATTTGGCAATTAGTTGACAGTTGGGCGCAGCATCAGCACCGACCAATAAACCATTGGCCAGAAAAGAGAGAGTGGAGCTTTTATTTAGGCCTCTTGAATTTTTTATTCTATGCCCTCGGCGAGCACAAAAGTTGTCCCTAAAAAGAATGAATTTATTTGAATGTTTGATCAAAATCGTTGAAGTGGATGTTTCTGTATTTTAAGTTTTTATGACAGATTTAGATTTAAGCTTATAAAACTCATATTCCAATTTCAATGTGGCGTTTAATTCCCAAATTACTTTTAAAGATTTTGCAAAGATTTTTAAATGTTATTAATTCTAAATTCCGCCTATTGAAGAATCTCTCTTCAATTTCAGACTCCTGCTGAATTCAATGAGTTGATCTTCATTCAATTTTCCGTCCTAGTTCTTGACAAAGTGGCCACTGTCTTCGCTCAATGTACCGAGACGTTTTTCGTTCTGCGCCTGTCGAGTAAATTAATTCAATTTAATTTAGCCGAAAATTGGAAAAACCGCTTGAGATTCCTTTGCCGTGGCAGCGCCAATGGCCACTTTGCAGCACGGTCGAAAGGTCAACGTCAAGTTTAAGGCGTTGCAAGGGCGTTGCCCGGAATTGGGACGTTTTTTTTGGAGGGCTAGCCACAATAAATTCCTTGAAAGCGACTCAACTTGGCTTTAATCAATGCAAACAAAGTGCGAGTCGCTGAATAAGTCAAGCCAAAACTCGTGTCAAGTGCTTGGCGATGGGTGGTTAGTAACAAGGGGGTGGGGTGGTGTGCGGTGCGGTGCGGGGTTAAAACGTCTGCCTTTGGCTGAAGGACATTCTAAATGGAATAATGAAACCACTTTTGCATGTTAACGCCATCAAAAGGCGCGACAGAAGCGAAACACACGCGGGTACTTTGACATCCTGGCTTCCTGACTTCCTGCTACCCTCGAGTACTTTACTTGGCTCTCGGCGACATGTCTGCAACATTATCAAAGGGCAATAGACGAACAAGTGCCTTGACTGTGTACAGAGAGAAATTTTAATGGGTCGTTTAGTAGTCTTTAAGTTATTTTGAGCATATATGTTCACCTAGCACATATCACATATCCTACTGTACCTATCTACTGAGTTTTTAGCATACTTCACTTTTTAGCAAAGAACATATGTGTGTTATTACCCACAATTCATAGTTTCATAATAATTTAAATGGCTAGTTTAGTAAGCTGTAAGGTTGGGTTAGAATTTGTTTACCCTGCACATATAAGCTACTGTCCTTTCTACTCAGTTCGGTCACATGTTTACAAAGAATATATTGTTGTTCTTTAGACACATGAATTAAAGTCATAATTTCGAAATATTTAATCTCAGTGCTTGCTTCTCAGCATAACCACCATTCCCCAGCCCGTCTAAGTCGTTGTCGTCATTGTTTTTGTGTCGCTCCTGATGTTGTTTTCTGTATTTTTTCGGAAGCAGTAAGCGGAGGCTGAGTGGCGATGCAAATAGTCTGCCAAAGCTGGGCCGAGTTAACATAAATTTATGCAAATGCCAAAGTCAACAAGCGAAGAGTGCATAAAGCGAGCTGGTCGACTGGTGAATGAGTGAGTCAGTGGATGAGTGAGTGAGTGAGTGACTGACTGGTTGAGTGCCTAGTGGAGAGCGGGTAACAAAGACGTCATGTAGCTGGAGCCCAAGTCCTTGTCATGCTTTCTTTTTTCCTCTTTTCCTCTGCTCTAGAGAACTGGTGGGGAATTAATGCAAAACGCATTAAGATGATTTTTATCTGCCGGACAACGCCCCAATCAAGAGCGTTGTGCCCAGCCGAACACAATTGCCATCGGACATTGGTAGTTTGCTTAACCCTATTACCGACACAGATACAGTTGGATCTGGTACAAGATACAATGGAAGGCGAAGGGCGAAGGGCTGGCATGTGCAGGCAGGTCAGAAGTTGTTTGTTAACAAGTTTAGGGTCATCATGACAGGGCCAGAGTCCTATTTTGATTCCGACTCTCGGCAGTACCAGCTGCAGCAGCTTCATCGCCATCTTCAAGTGGCATCCACCCTTCCGTGCACACATGTGTTTGTAACAGGATATGCTCCCTTATTGGATTGCCCCCCAGTTTGCTGTTTGTTGTTGTCCTGCTGTTTCCGACAATTCATTTGCATTTCCGTTGCCGCTTGCCGAGCTTTGAGCTCTGCTTCAATTGCAAACGAAATTTTCAGCTTGGTTGACCATGTCAACGGCTTAGGAAAGCTCTCTCACTCCCGTACAATCGTAGCTGTTTTGGGGGCGTTGCATACGTTAATAATGCCCAGGCAGCCCTGCACTGCACAGCACAGAAACGAAGCGTCCGTCAAAGCCAGCCAACAAGGAGCCTAATCAGCGCCTGTCAAGTGCTCACCGCAGACCATCCTGCCATTCTGCACCTGCCTCCTGGCCACAGACAGGTGACAAACGCTAATGAAATGTCACGACTCGTTGTCAAGCAGGAACTTTCAGTTGGTAGAATGGAAGAAAGCAAGTTTTCGTCAACCAGAAAGCTCTCTCTGATTTCTCACTCTGTGTGTGCGTGTGGTCAATAACTTTTATTGAAGCGGTCAACACCTTGCAGAGAAGAAAATGAAAAATGTTTAGAACATTGACATTAATAAGAAAATCAAATGATCAAACGTTTGATTAAGTGTGTTAACTTACATAATTCAAACTGACCCTTTTCCTACTGTCCTTATATACGCAGTTTGGACCAATATGAAGTAGCCCTATGTTCAAAGGTTGAAAAGATTGCAATCGTATTGCCATAAATAGATAACCCTAATGATCAAAAGCTTAATAAAGTAAGCTAAGAATATAAATCATAATTTACCTAACACACGTTTCGAATTGACCCTTTGACCCTACTGTCCCTATCTACGCAGATCAAGTTAATTGCTTTTCTGCAAAGAACTTATACATATACACTTGTACTCTTTTTGCCATGGACTTTTTTAAACAGCATGTAATGTAAAAGTCAACTATTACAATTTTTCTCAGTGACTCATGAGTGCATTCCTCTGCATATGCTAGCCATAGTTTCAGAACCACACACACACACCGACTTTCAATGGGATAACTGATTTGAAAACCAAAATGGAAGCCGGGTCAGCTATTGGTCTCCTGGGAGAAGAGATGGAAGGGCAGCAAAAACATCAGTCAATGACCAGCACTTGACATGTGACCGACATAGCCATCAACAAATCCATTTAAAAGTAACCCCTGGCATGCTGGTTATCCCATTCCTTCCGCCATCAAGGACTGTCAGCGGAGAATGGCGAGTTGGAATGGGAATGGGAATGGCAGACACAGGACATTTGTCGGGCCACGTAAATCGTGCTGAATGTCACGTCTAAATAGAAAGCAATAACGAGAACGGAGCTGCGGCTGCGGAATTGGCCGTATTATGGGCGCATCACGTTGGGGAATCCTTGCTGCGGTGGGATTGCTCAGTCGCCGATCCTTTTGCACATGTGAAACACAAGTAATATGCCTGTATCCTATCCTGACTCTCCGTTTTCTCTTTTTTATGTTGCAGAAGACGCCGTGCACATCACGGCCATTCTCGGCGAGGGCGTCATCTTCAACTGCCATGTGGAGTTCCCCAACGACCATCCCGTGCCATATGTCCTGCAGTGGGACAAGAAGGTGAGCGAAACGGTACGATATCACAGTTAACATTTCTTCTCTAAACTCTCTTTTTTACATTGTTGTTCCGATACGCAAAAACAAAGCAAGAAAAAGTAAGAAACAGTCAGTCAGAACAGACAGACCCCACGCAGTAAACGAATAATTAACTACCAATTACCAACTACCGTACTCCTATATTCAGTGTTTTCTCAACTTATACGTACAAATCTACCATCCAAACAAAACTCGTATGAGCCTTGTCCCCTTGATCAGTTACTCAGCCTGAGTTTGTTTCATTTTTGAGTTTGTTTAAAGCGCTGCAGTAACCAAATTATATACAAGTTGATCCGATAACCGAACTAACCGAACTATTGCCATAATGCTCGTGTTGTTTGTTGATGTCCATGCGATATACAGATAAACTACATATAACTTAAAGCTTGATATTGAGATTAAGATTGATCGTACTCGTGTATGTGTTTATGTGTTTCCATATTGGTAATTTGAATTTGATTTTCCTTGGTTTTCATTGCCATTATTAAACCTATATATCCTCCGGCCTGAAATCGGTGGACTATCCCGCCAAAACTAAAACCTGACCTCTGACCTGCCCCCAAAAATCACCATCTAAACACATCATTTATAATAGGCAGGCTTTTGGCTTTTCAAGCGGCTGCGCTACTGATCAGTTTTATGGATCGGACTTTTTGCGCCTCCTTTAAGTTCGCCCACAAAACGCAGACAAAAAAACACACACAAAATACTTCAACACTTTGAATCGAATTATTTTTGCGGCATTTGAAATTACGAAAGATGAAATTAATCAAATTATTTGTCAATTGAAGGAACGGGCTTCACAGCACCCGGACCAAAGAGAGCGAAAGAGAAGAAAGCAGTCAAAAATTCACATTCCACCAATCAAAAAAAAAAAAAAACCGAAAAAAAAAATCGAAAATGAAATTCCATTTGCAAATCAAATCAAATCGAAATTCGTTCGCAATCGAAAGCATACACAAAAATCTGGCTTAGCTGCTCACTGCAAAACCAAATGAAAACGATTTCCACTTTCCTGTTATTATTCCTCAACCATGCAAATCCCAAACAATTAGCCACACAACCATTCATAGACGAGCAAAAATATTGAAAACAAATTAGTCACATTGCCAAGACTTTAGTTGCGAGTGTTTGGAAAACTCTTTCATGAAATTCTGCACCACCCAAAAATCCCCAAAACTCAGTGGCAGTCAGAGTTTGCAGAAATATGCTAATGTCTGGCAAAGTTGAGCCGCAGATAAACAGTGCAAAGATTCGTTTTGGAATTCCATGACGATAACTGCGCAAACTTTTCAACTCTGCAAATGCCACTCGGACAACCGATTGATGGCAGTGTGTGTGGCATATTTTTGGCATTTTCAACTACTGCCACTGCACATTTCCCCGTAGGATAAGCAAATTTTATTCCAATCGAATAAGCAAAAGGCGCAAATAAAACACCCATCACATAAATACTTTATATATAGAGCACCAGCCACCCACCCAACCAGTCACGTTTTTCTCTTCATTCATCTTTTTCATTTGGCGTTTTGTAATGTAATCCAATTATTTTGCCAACCTTTATTGCATGCTTAGTGTGTAGCACAAACTATTTTTACTCCACTTATTCTGCAGCAAAGTTTGATGAAGCCAACTAACGTGGGCAACCTCTCAGCACACCGACTTGAACTTATAGTAAAACCCCGACCTCAAACAGCTTACTTTCCATAATTTCGAGCGGAGGCGGCGACTAACTTTCTTTGGGGCTTCGTAGCTGCAGCTTGCTGGCAAAAACTAAGAATAACCGCAAGGATAATAAAGTGGAAAATGCCAACGAAGGCTGGATAATTTAATTTATGCGCTCGTATTTCTCTTACTCTCGTATATCTGCCGCTTTCCCTGTAATTACGTTCATTGCTGGCCCATAAAAGCGAAAGAATTTCATCCAGTATTTACTACATTAAAGATTGCCCGCCCTTTAAAAGGGAAAAGTCCCCCCAAAGGACGAAAAAAACGAGGGCGTGAGAGTCTGGCGTTGCCTTAGTTGCAATCTAAATTAATTGCTACTGAATAAATTAAGCGGAAAAATGTTTGCCAAGCCAACTTATGACGCTTCTGCGAGTGCGAATATTAATTTTGGCCCAGGCCAAGGGACCTCCGGCCCTGAATGTCTGCCCTTTTTGTGGCGTCCCTGTGTGCCCTGCCAACCCAAATTATTTCATACGTCAGCCGAGGAAATGATTAAAACGTCTATAAGTTTTAATAAGCGACACAGGCACAGGCACTGACACATACACAGACACTGGCACACAGAACCCATCTCCTAGTGCTCTCTCGTCTAATTAGGGAAATAAATCGATTAGCTCGGCCTGGGATAACATGGCGTATGAGCAATTTGCTTACCAATTATTTATGTATACGCAATTATGTCGCTATCTAACACCCACACACATTTCAGTTATATAGGGGACAAAATCTCTGTGCTCCCCAAGTGTTAATGCTTGGCCAGGTCCTGCTGTTGGTCATGCGAAAGAATTCGAATTCAAAATGCATTCGGTTCAATGCATACAACGGGGCCCACTCTTTCTCTGTGAATAAAATAAACAAAAGGCCAAAGCTGCACATGGATGTGTGAGGACGAGACTTTTGGGGGCGAGTGCAGGTTAACCCCAATTTTTGTTGCCTGCCTCGAAATATATATTTTCCATGCACATTTTTTATCTGCACAAGCTAGAATTTCAAATGTATCTCTTTGGCCCTCGTTGTTTTAGTTGCTGCCACACACATACACACACTGAGACAGATGATTTATTGTTGCCAGCGTGTCCCTGGCACACTACAAAAATACCATACAGTTGCGGTCAAAATAGGAGTAATTTTATAGATTGAGAAAATTTAAAAAACTGTTTTCATATTTTGAGGCAGCTAACAATATAAAATAAATGGAACAAGTATAGGAATTCGGACATAAATATGTATAAAATTTTAAAATATTTATAAAATAGATTGAAAAAATTAGTTTCCAAATAACTGGATACTAAAAATATTTTTATTCCAATAGAAACTGCAGATGAACGAGGACTTGTGGTTGTTTACTTAAATTAATATACAATATTTAGTGCAGTATAGTAAAAATGAATTTATTAAAGGAATTATGGGCAGTTTTTTTTTTTTTTTTTAAAACTAAAACAATATCACAGATGTTTTAATGCCAGTAAGCAACATAATAATTTAAGTGAAAAGTTGTCCTATACCTAAAAGGTATCTATTTGAGAACTTTACATTGTCTCCCTACTTTTATCTTGACCGCAACTGTATGAGTGGGGGGTATGATGGGATTCCCTCTTTTTCCGTTTCTCCACTTTTCCTCCGGCTGTTGATGAGCATGCAAAAAGGACGTGGAAGGGCGGGAATGGACCAAGTGGTGAGCCCAGGATCTGGGGAGTTCGTGTTGACAGTGAAAATGTGTGACCATGTCTGTATATACATATAGTTTGTGTATCTGCGAGAGCAGCGCTTGTTTGTTTGCTGGCATGTTTACCATGCGGCAGCGCAATTTCTCCACGTTAACGTGATGAGTTTTTGTTTTGACTGTTTGTAGATTTTACTTTTCACAGACAGAACGCAGTTATATTCCCCCGTCGCTATGTCGCAACTCAATTTATTTGCGACAGTTGTTAGTTGTTTGCGTTTTCTCAGCGGGTGGGAGTTGGAGTGGTGGTGGGAGTGGGAAGTCGTCGGAAAACTTTTGAGAATTTCCCGTTTAGCGTTAATCCCGTTTTGCACCTGCATGCCACAGCGTAGATTTAAGTGTTCAAAATGTAGCGATTGCATGATCCAAGCACACTGTTCTATGTACATATCCCTCAACAAAATCGCGACTCATAAACCGAATCATAACCCTAGGTTAGATACTGTCTGTACCTGTAAATGTACCTGTTCCAATGTTGAAGCGTACCAGAAACCAGACTCTCTCGTTTGTCGTATGTACAAATGCCATGGCACATTCCATGCATATAACGCATTCCAGACAGACCAAAAAAAAAATCAAAGAATCAACTCTGATCTCACTGGCAAGCTCAGACTAATGACTAATGACCCAATATCATCCTCCTTCTCAAGGGCTCCGATCTGCCCATATACATCTGGTATGAGAGCTATCCGGAGCACATCGAGGAGGGCTACAAAGGACGCGTTTCCCGCGTGTCGCAGGACTCTCCCTTCGGCTCCGCCTCGCTCAACCTGACCAACATCCGGGAATCGGACCAAGGATGGTACGAGTGCAAGGTCGTCTTCCTCAATCGGGACCCCAAGCAGCATAAGAACGGTACATGGTTCCACTTAGACGTACATGCACCGCCGCGCTTTAGTGTTACGCCAGAGGATATTATATACGTTAATTTAGGTGAGTACTATAAGTTTTGTTTACAAATTATATATCGAAACTAAAAGAGCGATATGATATATTGAATAAAAATATCCTGTTCATCAACAAAATATCGATACATTATCAAACAAAATTTCAACATTTGCATTACTAGATTACAGAACTGGATATGTTCCATGTATCATTAAAAAACAAACTTTTAAATATCGATATTACTATCGAACGACCCAAACACTGCCTATTTATTATTTATTTAGTTTATAATGGTAATGTTCAGATAAATCATAAAAAAATATGAAATATATATCGATATAACCTTATCGCTACGATACCTATGCATTAAGACTTTTTGTCATCGCTAACTTAAGTGCAGAAACCCATCCGTTTTGCTTTCTGACAAATAGCAGGGCCATAAATAAGCGCATATTCGGCTGGCCAACTTATTTGGGGGCTGTCATCTCACAAAATTAAGTGGAGTGCGACCCCCGCTCGCTTTTTGGCCCACTTTCGAGTGTGTCAAATGGCCGCCCATTTGTTGCAGCGCCCGAATGAGTTTGTCACCTTGAGAACTTATATTCCCAGGAGTCGTAAAAAGTCGTTCCACACCAGCACCAGCGCCAGCACCAGCCCCCCTTAAAACGAGTTATGGCCGTCCATTTGTCATCTTCCGATTCCAAAAGTGGAAGAGGTTCACGAAAATCGATAAGCTCTTTATGCTCTCACAATCGTATCAAATCAAATTTCCGTCGCTTAATCAATGTTAAAATGTTTACAAGTCCAAGTGGGCGGTGGCAAAACAAAAGGCGGTTGCCGGAAATGCGTTGAGCGAAAATGGCGCTGCAGCGCATAAATCAGACAAACTCAGCGGCCGAAGGAGAACAAAACCGTAGGAAACTGCAACAAAGGACCCTCTGCCATTGTCTGCCGCAAATGTGGGTGGTGCTGGTGGTGATGGTGGTGGTGTCAAAAGGAAGAAGGACTAGAGACAAAAGACAGCAGTCGAGCCGGAAGGACCCGCCTCTCTGAAACCAAAAAGCGTAACAATTGCCACCACTTACCTTATTAATTCCTCGCTCTCGTCGTTCTGTGGGTCGTTCTTTTACTCATTTTGTTCTTGCACCACATTTCCTTGCAGGTGATTCAATTATACTCAATTGCCAGGCCGATGGCACACCCACGCCGGAAATACTCTGGTACAAGGATGCCAATCCCGTCGATCCCTCGCCCACGGTGGGCATCTTCAACGACGGCACCGAGCTGCGGATCTCCACCATTCGGCACGAGGACATCGGAGAGTACACTTGCATTGCACGCAATGGTGAGGGACAAGTCTCCCATACGGCCCGTGTTATAATCGCGGGCGGCGCTGTAATCATGGTAAAAACCTAAATACAAATCACTTAATTTTCGAGATATACGCCGGGGTGTCTCAGAAATCTCTTCCAAAAACCAAAATTCCACAACAAAAAATTAAACATATTAGAGTCTGGAGTGTAGTATATTTTTTGTTGAATTTTAAAGTAGCCGCCCGAAAATCATCAGCGATTTCTGGGACACCCTTGAATAGTACACAAAAACCGATCAAAAAGTGGTGTTTAGGGGGGAAGGTCTGTCCTGGGAGTTCAAGTGGGTGGGTTCAAAAGCTTTGGTCTCGAAAAAATGCCGATCAGGTTGCTAATACGTAGTTTTATTTCTTACCCCTTCGTTAACTGCCCAAAAAATCCAAAATCCAACCCAAAAAAAAAAATAAAAATCATAGGATAAAGCGGCGCCCGACAAACACACACGCACCAAGTCCAAGTCGAATGCCGTGAATGAGAGGCTGACCATACGAGTAAGTCCCAACTGAAAATCGCTCCTTGAATTTTGCATTCGGCATCCTGGCATTCCGCATACTGCATAATCTGTTCAACGCTTTACCATTAACTAAGCCCAACAAGCTGGCTACCGACTCGCCCATTCACAGCAAACCCAATCACTCTGAATGCTCTGGGCTGGAGGATTTTGGAGAGCAGCCGACAAACGGCTTCAGAAATCACCAGACTAAACCATGTCCATATTCCGATTCCGGGGGACGCTGTCTGGCACCCCGAAAAACGAGGAAAAAAAAAAATGCCGTAACAAGCGTGAAACTTTTTGTGCCTCCATGGTGGCCTCCATCCGACCCGTATTTACATGACCCCCACTGCAAAACAGCTAAACAGAACAGAGCAGAACCAGCAGAAGGAGCAAAAGGAACACTCGGTACACTTGACATGGTCATTCGCCTAGTCTCAGGCAGAATCCCTCTATTTACAACCTGCATACAAGCATGCTCACATAGGTACCCCCCCCTCCCACTCACACCCAAGCACGCCCACTTTTCCGACCACCCAACAACCGTCCACTCTTCCGTCCATAATGGGAAACCTTCGTGCATGTGTGGGTGGAACATGGCCGTCGTCGTCGTCGTCTGTATAGCATACTTTTGTGCGCGCACGCTAATGCATTTGCATTTCGGTTATTTACAGTTAGCTGCAACTGCAAGAGAAAAAGGAAGGGGGGTGCACGGGTTCGACTAAGTCTGCACAGTGAGAAAAATATATACAGAATGGTTAGCAAATATATAAATATACAAAAGTGGAAAATGGAAACATAACTAAAGGTGGTAATATCTACATCAATCTGCCTAAGCCTTAAATTTATTTTTAGACGTTACGTTTATTTATTTATGTTAACGTACAACAATCGGTTGTCAAACCATAATTATTGATACTACTTAAAAGAATCTTGGCAAAGACTACTCGCATTTGACTTCTAAATTCAAGACAATCAAAGTAAATGTTTACGTATTCAATTTTTAAACAAAGTTGTCAGGTTATAATTGAACCCGTCACTGGCGTTCCTACATAATTCCAGTAAGAATCTTCAAAGCACTTACAAAAAAATTATTTCTCTGTACCTCACAAACAATTTTGGCTTTTTTAGTCTATATACAAGCTGGCTTAGGGTTTACCGGCCTACATGCACAATTGGCTAGGCGTCTTGAACTTTGACCTTTCGTTGGCTTTTCAGGCAAGCCAAGAAAATCATGCAAAAGCCAAAGTGGGAAATGCACATACCTCGTGTGCTTCAATTACTGCTCAACCATTTTGCAGCAATCTTCACATAAATATTGCAATAACATTTATCTGGCCACAGGCAAAGTGGACATTTTATAGATGACCCTAGGGACATCGAAGGCAGGCAGGCAGGCAGGCAGATCAAGCCAATTCAATTTACGAGCCCATTTTAGGGCACCAGCAGTCAACCCACATCAATTTTGGCCATAACTAAAACTAATTCAAATGAAACAGACTGCCAGCAAATTGCCCGAAAGCAAAGCGGCGGCAAATGTGCCCATTAAATAAACCAAACCAAACCCCACACAAAACAGGCGGGATGCACTCATGCAATTACGAGGATGAAGAGAAGGGGTTTCGTAATGTTTGGCTCCTGACAGTTGACTGACAAGTTGTCAATGGCAGCGAGAGCAGGGAATTTTGAGGGGAACACGGAGCACATTTCATAGCTGTGACAGCAGAAATGTTATTTCTCGGGAGCGAGTGCACACAAAGGATATCGATGACGGCGACAGCCAAAAATTAGCTGTCAAGCTCCAGGCTCCAAAAGGGACCGCCGACCAGGGGCTTGGTTGTTCCTTCCATGGCTCATGATTTGAATTAGTGAACAGTCAACAGTCCACAGTCAACCGTCATAAATTTGCAGTTCGTTACACACTTCGTTACATGCGCAACTTTTCTAAAGGTATTTTTTTTAATCCCTCTGTCTGAACACAGGTGCCACCGACCAACCAAACGAAGAACGAGGGCGAAAAAGTGATATTCTCCTGCGAGGCTAAGGCCATGCCCGGCAACGTCACGGTGCGCTGGTACCGCGAGGGATCGCCCGTCCGGGAGGTGGCCGCTCTGGAGACGCGCGTCACCATCCGCAAGGACGGCTCGCTCATCATCAATCCCATCAAGCCGGACGACTCGGGCCAGTACCTATGCGAGGTGACCAACGGCATCGGAGATCCTCAAAGCGCATCCGCTTACCTCAGCGTCGAATGTAAGTATTAAGCCCTCTCAGAATTAAGTAAAAAACAAGAAGGTTCGCTATAATCAAGTGCCCCGACTATTTGATACCCGTTACTCAGCTTACCAATTTTAAATTAAACAGTCAGGTTTTAGGTCACGCCATCTACCTACCTGAAGGGTCAGCACTTCAATTAAAGAACTCTCACTCCGTTTTTTTAAATATGACGTCATAATTAAAAATTTCCTAATAACTTCTAAAATTATAACTCGATTTGGACAATTTTTGGTGCATGGATAGATATTGAAATTATACACGTCAGTGTAGATTTTCCTCACGATCAAATCGGGTTTTAACATTATTTTTTATCCCACTTCCTTTACAGATCAAGCCAAGGTGACCTTCACGCCCACGGTGCAGTATCTGCCTTTCCGGCTGGCCGGTGTGGTCCAGTGCTACATCAAGTCGAGCCCCCAGCTGCAGTACGTGACCTGGACGAAGGACAAACGCCTGCTGGAGCCATACCAAATGAAAGACATCGTGGTGATGGCCAACGGATCCCTGCTGTTCACGCGAGTGAGCGAGGAGCATCAGGGTCAGTACTCCTGCACGCCGTATAACGTACTGGGCTCAGCTGGAGCCTCCGGGATAATGGACGTACTCGTGCGGAAGCCTCCAGCTTTCACGGTGGAACCGGAGACCCTGTATCAACGCAAAGTGGGCGACAGCGTGGAAATGCATTGCGATGCCATGGAGGCGGAGGGCACCGAACGGCCTTCTATCAAATGGCAACGGCAGGAGGGCGAACAGCTGACCGAATCGCAACGCAATCGTATAAAGATCTCCGGCGGCAATATCACCATTGAGAATTTGAGGAGAGAGGACTTCGGTTACTATCAGTGTGTGGTTTCCAACGAAGTGGCCACTCTGATGGCCGTCACGCAACTGGTGATCGAGGGCACACAGCCACATGCTCCCTACAATATCACAGGCAAGGCCACCGAATCATCAATCACTCTACAATGGCTGCCTGGATATAGCGGTGGATCGGAATACAAGCAGGACTATACAATTTGGTTTCGCGAAGCGGGCGTCAACGACTGGCAAACGATATCCGTAACGCCCTCAGGCAGCACACAGGTTACCATCAATGGTCTCGCTTCGGGAACTACCTATGAATTCCAGGTGGTGGGACGCAATGTCCTTGGGGACGGTATGATGAGCAAAGTGATGACCGTTCGCACACTGGGTAAGTCTTTTCGGTCCACAATTCCTCAAAAACTATCTTTCGTTCGCTTGCTCCTTCTTTATTTTTGGGTTCTTGCTGCAGTCGCTACCCAGCATATAGTCCTGCACATATAATCTCTCATGCAAAAAAAAAACCTCTGCACAACAAAACTGAATCTGGATTGGCTCTAACATAACGCTCTTGTTTTTCTCTCGTTTTCTTCTCTTTTTTCCTCACCGACCTCCATCGAAACAAAAAACCGCTACTCGATCTAACTTTCTCATTACTAATCATGCGCGCAATCAATGCAAACTGTCAAATGCCAAACCGCGACCACGAATTTTTCCTGGGAACCACGGAAAATTCGGGTTCAAATAGAAGACGCTCCGGCAGCGCCACGTAATGTCAAGGCTGCAACACAACCGCCCGACTCATTCTTTCAGCTAATGCCAGACGAAGCTGGTAAGAGAATAAAACTACAAAAAACCCAACCGTAAATCCCTAGTATGCGTAGTTGTAAATAAGAATCGGGAATATAGAACGTCGGCCAGCAAGCAAATTAAGCGCGAAATGCAGCCATCGGCTTACAAGGATCAAATCTCTTTTATTTTAAATAACAAAAGTTGTTGCGCCAGCATTCTTCGCCCTTTTATTACGTAACCTAAGACCGAGTAAAATAATCAATTAAGGGGTCTTGAATTATGAGTTTTTTTTAATCAATAACTAAAACGATATGCATGATTGTGTAGCTGCTACTTCCTTAAGAAATTTAAATGGAGTCGTAACTTAAACTTAGAATTTGAAAAATTTATTTTTATAAGGATTTAGACTTTAGTTTAGGCTTCTAGAAACCCTACATTTAAAGAGGATTGGCGGCTTTCTCAATTAAAACCAAAGTAGGAGGATGTATATATAACTAAAATGAAACCACAAGCACATTACAACCCCTGCTGGTTAGTTTCTTCAATCCCTTCCCTAGTTTGCATGAGGCTTGAATGTAACCTGAACCAAAAAAAAAAAACTGTAAATATCCACTTTTGTTGTTTTAAACATTTCACCAAGTTCTTGGAAAGTCTGAGCTCCAAGTGCTCAACCCATTTTCCAGGCAACCGCAGCCCAATATACCAATTTCCCTCCCCAATGAATTCAATATTCATTTTCGGCTTTCGGGGTCAGAGCATGAAAAAAGCAACAATTAAATATTCAAACCAATTAAACAGGGCTCGCTCCCCATTTATTGGCTGCCAAAGCACGCCCCGAATTCGCGCCATTTCCCACGGGGCATAATTTGCCACATGTGCTGGGGATTCTGGCCTGGATGCGAATATTACATTTCTGGCTCTCACGCACACACACACACTCAGAACGATGAATATCTGGGGCTGATCTCCGTTCGCGTGTGTGCGTAATTAAAACAGTTTGGCCCCACATTTAATTATTTAAATTAATTGAACTGTTTTTACAACTGCTGTTGGTTGTTCTTGTTTTTTGTCCGTCTCTTGCAGGTTGCGTGCGGTCGATATGACAACGCCCACGCCCACGACCAAAAATGCGAGCATAGGGTGGTGGCGTAATTTAAACAACCATATTACCAAATGCCGAGGCACATTTAACAGGCACACGCCCCCTTTAGAACCTTCCCCCGCCCCTCTTTTGCTCGGCTCCGTAGGTGCGGCAATTTGAATGCCTTTGTCGACGTTGCCGCCGCGTGTTTTTCCAACCGCTTTGCGATAATAGTTAATTTTATCCTTGCTCTCTCTCTCTCTCTCTCTCTCTGTCTCTTTTGCTCCTCCACTCGTTGTGTAGTTTTATCCCCCTCCCCCTTGTATATATGTGTACGTACTTCCCCTTCCCCTCCCTCCAACTCACACACACACACACGAATGAATGTTTTCCCCCATTTAGCGCATTTAATTTACTTGCATTAGTCTGTGTGTGTGCGTGTATCACAGTGCGTATACGTGTTGGCGCACGCGTAGGTTAAAAAATAAGGAAAAACGTTACAAAATATAAAAAAAAACAACAACAACAGTAAAAACAACGACGAAAACAACAAAAAAGGCGGTAACTCTGGCGGCAAATGTGCGCCGTGTTGTGTAATGCAACCCTGGATTTCGTGTACGTGTGTACCTTTTTTTGGCGCTTGTAACGTAACACCTACCAACAACAACAACAACAACAACAACAAACCATCCAATGCCACCGCCCATTAAACCACCCACAGACACCACCCACCACTGCCTCATTTCACTTTCAGCAGCCCAGCAACAACAACCACAAAAACTACAGCAACAAGAACAACAACAGTAACTAAAACAATAACAGCAGCTAAAGCAAAAACGCCTCGCAGAAAATTGTATTACCTTTGGCTCTTTTATTTTGCTGCTTTATTTTTCTTATAATATTTCCATCTTTTTTTTAAGTCCTGCATAAAACATCAACGGTAAACCATTTGCCACTGCCCCCACCACCCATCAACTCACTCCCCTCCACACGTGCGATTGTGCATCTGTGTGTGTATGTCCGTGCCGCATTTGTTTATGTCAAGCAATTTTCATACGCCATGTAGTCCCGCTGTTGCTGGCATTTGCTCACATTCACTACAGCACCACCCAACCGCCCAATCACCCAACTAAATGGGTGGTGCAGAGCGGTGCGTGCTGCTTTCCTCGCTGTTTTATCCATACGGCGCAGCGCTTAAAAATTAATAACAACAATGCGAGCAGCAGTCAGTGCGCTACTTCAACATTTGCAATATTTTTGCTCTGACATTCGGAAAAATATAACAATTAAAACTCGAAAGAGGGATACCCTGCAATACCCTATAGCAGGGTTTGATTTTTTTTTTTTTTGTGATGCTGATAAGACCAAGTCAAGCCACCAACAATTATATTAAGTTTTTTTAATGAGATTAGTTTTTCCAATTTAATCGGCATTGACATTCGTTACATTTTTTTTCTGTTAGTAAATGCACTTTGATAAGGCAGGTTAGACCACCCCTTGCCCTAAAGCTTTTAAAATATTTATATTCCTGCCTTGATAATCTTTAAAAGCTGTTTAGCTGTGAAAACTATAACGATACACGGAATTCAAATATATTGGTTATTATTTTCCGCAAGACATTACAAACTCTTATATTTAGTAAAATAAATACAAATTAGTACTTAAAAAATATTGAAGGCACTCGGACTTTAAATATGACTTAAAGAGTGGTAGAAAATAACCAAAAGACAGTTGATTCCTCAGTTCTAGCGCTGAATCCCTATATTATCACAACTTAACATATAAAGATTTCATACAACTAGAAAGCTATATTCAAACCTTCAAATTTCCGAGTCAAGACTATGATTGCTTAATCTTTCTGATCAATTTAGTATCCACCCACTTGGCATACCCACATCAGAAGGAGTAAAATCTAACCATGGAAAATGCATGTCAAGGCTGATTATAAGCGAAAGCCCACCACATGTGCACTTATGAATATTTAATGCATTTTACTGTCATAATTACAGCACGGGTTTTGTTGCCGTGCCGAGTGTTTTTCCCTTCTTGGGGCAGCAGAATTTGCATTCGATCAAGGTAAACTAATCGAGGACTCGATGCCCGATTGAGCTTGAGTTTCCCACTGAGAAAGCGGCTTTGACTTTTGCCAACTGTGACCTCTGTAGTTAGCACAACTTTCGGTACTTGGATTGCACTTTCTTTCTTTGAATTTTCCAACACGCACCACCACATTTCCCTCTGCACACTTTAGCTTTAATTATATACTCGATTTGATATGATTTGAATTTTGTGTTTCGTGTTTTCTGTGTTTCTGATTTATTTGCAGACCTCTTAGCCTATTTTGACATTTACTTTCACACCGACTCGCGTGGCAAGCTTGTTTATTCGCCGCCCAAATTGAGAGTCAAAGGTACTCGTATTAAACATCACTATAGTACAATTTCAGGTTGTTTAGTAAAGTTTGTTAGTAACTTATAACAATAAAGTAAAAAAGTAATTCTACTCTTCAGAATTTTTTTTCTTAGACAATTAATTTGAATTCTTTTTTTTTTTTGTGGAATAGAACTGAATACCAAAAAAACCGATTGTATTTTTTTTTTTGTGACATAAGCATAGATCTACACCCTTCTTTATTGAGTAGATTTTTAAACCATTTCTAAGCTACTGATTATTATAAGCAAGTGCAACAAATTGTCAAAGTGCCACATCATTTGGAATTTACTTAAGCAACGAAAATATGATCCCAAAACATGGATGGTGTTTTTGATGTCCCAGTCATAGACTCAAACCCTTTTTCATTGGGTAATTTGTGGTAATGTTTTCTAAACTATTTAGATTATAATGAATAAATTGAAGCATTTGCAACCTAACTGAACAACCTATTTGAGACCGACCTTGCATTATTTTTTCCCCATTTTTTCCGCTGACAAGTGGCGCTTAAGTAATGTCTCTGTCTTGTGAAACAGCTAGTAATTCCTGCAAGCAAACTGCAGATTTACTGCGGGTCACCCTGAACCCTACCCCTCCCGAAATCCCCACTGCTGCAGTCATAAATAACATTTAACCGTGCGACGGCCGACGCCTCGTTCCTTTTGTATCCCCCCAACCCCCAGGTCTACCCTTGACATTTTTACAGTCCGTCCGTCTGTGTCTACCCATCTCATTTAGGCCTTTTTCCCAGCCGCTTTTCCCGGGCCATTTTGCTTTTTATGTTTGTCACTTGTCTCGTTTATGTTATGTCAAATCTGCGCACATTTTTTATGCGGGACGAGAATTAAAGGGTTGCCGTTGCTACTGCTACCGCTACTGCGACCGCCACTGCTACTGCTACTGCTACTCTTGCTCATTTCTGCCCCATTCGCATAATCAACTTTTGATATATGCGACGAGTTTGCGTTTGCGTTTGCGCTTTCAAATCCCGCAAGGGCTCTTTAAAAGCATTTTTAATTAACATACATACATATATAATGAGCGTGGCATTTTTCGTTAGCGCCATCGTCATAATAAATGGCTTGCACTTATTGCCGCACGTGGGGAATCCCCCTAAAATATCCTCGCATTCGCACCGTCGCACTCATCTAAACTCCACACACACACACACTTCAGATACACACACAACATACCGTACACTTGCCAGCCATACACATCCCATATATCGTTTAATGCTGTTCAAAATTTCATAAGCGCCATTGGGAGCTACGAATTGGGCGCCATTTACATGACATATTGTGTATTTCTCCAAGCAGTTTTAATTTGCATTTGCATGTGCGACAAGCTGAATCCAAAATACAGAATACAGAATACCAAGCGGCCTGAAATCCCAAGGAGACCGGCAGTTAATTGCATCGAGCACGAGTTCTCCAATCAGGAGGTCCTGACAAGCGTACCGAGAATTCAGGTTATCTATGCCTATAATTCGTTTGCATACACTCAGGAGTATCCTTCTCCATCTCCTGTTTGTCAGTCTTCAGTCCTCAGTCCTGTCGTTTTTTTTTTTTTTTGTTTGTAGCACTCTTTCCATTTCCAAACAGCAACGGAAGTTGAGGGGGCCCACAAGAATTCAAATGCGAGATACGAAAATGGAAAGTTTTATGTGTGTATGCTAATTAAAATGTGTTTTTGTCAATCCTCTCACATCCAGTTCTCGTTGTCATGAATAAATGCATGGGTGCAAAAAAGGAAAAGGTTGCAAAGAGTTTGCAAAAAGCCAAATGGAATTTTCATAAAGCTTTTAAGCGTAGCGAAAAAATGAAATAAATAAATTCAACCTAAAACAATGAAGGGCGAAGCTCACACTGGGAAATAGAAATCATTAAACAAAAATTTTTGTTTTATTTGTTGTTTAACTGAATTGGTAAACAAATTCAAATTTAAAATAGGACCCATTTTGTTTTTAAGGATTTGAGAGAAGGTTAACGACAAAAGGTAATAAAAGGGCAGAGGAAAATCCTTCGCGCAAATAAACAAAGCATAAAATGAAATGCAAATAAATCAAAATAATGCAAACGATTTACCCATTATACACTGAACAAAAAATTGCTTCGAAATTGAAAAAAAAATAGTTAAAATCGGAAAGTTAATTCACTGATCCCATTACGGTGAATAAAACAGTGGCACTCTTGAAAAAGATTCAATGATTTATGAAATTTTAATAATGATTCATTGTTACCCATTGAAATTCTTGCTTCAATTGCTTTCAATGTATGTACATTTCGATGTCGGATTTCACCTTTGTGCGTCGTTGGCAATTGAAATTGGCTTGCTACGGGTTTAAATTGCTGACTGGAAAACAAGGCAGGACAAACAGTAACCAAGGCTGCAAAACGAAGATTCTTTTCACTAGGGTTGTGTAAGGATGGGGAAATATTGCGTTCAATAAAATATCGAAAATGTCGAAATATTAAAAATCTTGCTATATTTTTCTTAAATTTAATTTCTGTTAGAAAAGGTCTCTTAAAAAATCTTGAAAAGTGAAATGTAGCTTTCTAATACATCATATATATAAATATCGATAGTGATATCGAAAGACGTTTTAAAAATCGATACTTTATTTATTTTTGTAATAAATACAGTAACATAAGGACATTTAAAGAGTAAACTAATGATTTGTTTTTTCCTCGGTCTGAAAAGTAATAAATAGTAAATTATATAAAAATATCACATTTATTTAGTATCGATATTGACATCGAACAAAGTCTTAAGTATCGCTACGATATTTTGGCCAACCCTAAGATAAAAACCCTGTACTGTAGTTCAATTTTATGTGCATACTAATGATTCATTTTTTCTCTACCACCCTTTCTGGCACCGTTTAAAACAGGTCCCAAGCCCGGACCCCCCAGAAATGTGTCCGTGACAGAGGTGTCCAATGGATTCCTCATCACGTGGCAATCGCCGCTGGAGCGGGCGCACATCGTCAAGTTCTACACCATCAAGTACCGGACAGATGCGCAGTGGAAGACCCTCAACCGGGGACAAATCCGGCCGGAGGAGACGCAATATCTGGTGAAGAACCTGGTGGGCGGAAGGACCTACTACTTCCGGGTGCTGGCCAATTCGGAGAAGTCGTACGAGTCCAGCGACGAGGTGAAATTCCCGGTGCCGGCGCGTGTCAAGCACAAGGCGATTACCGCCGGCGTCGTTGGGGGCATCCTGTTTTTTATTGTTGCGATCATTTTATCGGTTTGTGCCGTAAAAATTTGCAATAAACGTAAACGACGAAAACAGGAAAAAGGTAACACTGAGGCAAAAGCTAACACACACACTTGAAATGGTTTTTGATGACAAAATCACAACAATTGATAACGCCACAAAATGCTAATGACAATGCTAACGATATAGATGTATCGATGATCCGTGCAATACTAATATCAAAATAACTCGTAACAGTAATAATCGATGACGATGTTCTTGTTGTTGGCGAACCCCAAAACCATTAACCCCTTTTTTAAAGACGCAAAACTAACTAACTACTCAAGCAGCCACTAATTTATTATAACATTTCGATATATTGACCTTCGGACGGCACAGGCCACCCAATTATCGATAACTTTTAACTGATTACCGATTACCATTACTTGCCGTGCTATTTATGAGTTTTGCTTGGGCCTTGCAAGCCTTTTCAGTTCTAGTTTTCCTCTTTTCCTGCCACTGGCAATGAAAATCTTCTTCCGTTTGCCATTCAGTTTCGATACATTGGTTTGTTCGACAACAACAGCACATTGAAATTTGCATTTGAAACCGTTTGCTTGCCCAAAGTAAAATATTTGACAAAATTTCTAAGCCGTCGAGGCGTTTGATATGAAATCCTCCATAAATTATGCCTGTCTGAGAGTATGATTTGTACGTTTTTGTTGTAGTTGTGCAAGTAAAATTGAGTTACAATTTGGCAAAAGTTGCTGCAAAATCTCTGTATATAAATATATTTACATACTAATTGGATTTCGGTTTGCTTTTATTTGGTTATCCTTCCTTTCGGTTTATGATTTCATTAGTTCTGAGTTCTTATTTTGAGAGTTTGTCCCTCCAGCTCGACCCCCAACCCCCCTGGTCCCACAATCCACATTTCCGTAGACAAAAAAAAAAGTGACTCCTCAAGATCTTAGTTAAAAATCGGCCAAATAAGACCTTATCAAATTTGTGTTTTGCATTCCATTAATTAAACTTCTGTTCGTATAATTGGGCGATTTTTTTTTTCAATCAACCTGGCTTGATAGCGCTTTGCAGCCTGTTTGTTTTTTTTTTTTGGAATTCAACGCATGAACATATTAATAGTTGTTGCCACTTTAGTTAAGCATTAAGCGAAGATGGAAAAAAGCAATTGATTAAGCTCTAATTACGCCTGTCCCCATCTCCCGGGGAAACTCCTTTCGAAAGCAGTATACAATAAAATACCCGGCTGAGGTTGAGCGGAAATTGAAAATGCCAGGGCCAGAGGACCATTATTCGATGCCTGCTGGCTTTAATGCAATCGAATCAAACCCGGACCGAACCCAGACCGAACAAAACCGACCTGAACCGTGTGCATATGGAACCTCTCCGTCTCTCTGCCTTTTGTTATGGTTTTTGCTTTAAACTGTATTTTAAGTGGATTAATTAATGTTGCGTTGTTTAAATCAATTATTTATGTTTTCTTTCCAAGACCCCCTACCCCCACACACTTACACAACACAGAAAAAAGAAAAAAAACAATGGAACAGGGTAATTGCGAATTTTAAAATCAATGCAGCCCATTAACTATGAAATACGCATATTCTATACAGAACACATTGTTCTATACATTTTCCTCAACAAGTCTTTTTTTGTTTTTTTTTTTTCATTGCTGTGGTTAGCACATTACGATAAATTAACGTAAAAAACCAGTAATGATATGAATGTGACAAGCTGATAGCGCTGATGATAAAAAATACCTTTATCTTCGAACCATTGACAAGCATGTTCTTGGCCAAATCGTCGTTGTTTCTGCCCAGGGCTGAGTTCATGACAGATAAAGGTATTTGCACCGCAGAGGATAAAGAACAGTAGATACGATAATCTATATACATGGCGAGTAATGACCATTTATATAGCACAATACTGGGCAGACGTTTTTTGTAAACAATTCACGCACAAAGATGGTAAAATAAGGCCCACAAACAATGTCGATAGAGCAGAAAACCAAAACCGAATCCGAAGTATAAAATGATCGCGTCGTACATTGATCGGTAATATCCAGTGCATCAAGCTGTCCATCGCCCTTGTCCGCCCAACTTCTGGGACTCCAAAGTGGTAGAATTTCTATCATATTTTGTGTCTCTATTGAAGTCCGAGTTGGGCAGTCAAAAGGTGAAGCGACCGAGCACGCAAGTAAAGCATATAGTAAGACCCCACTAATTAACTAAACAAAAACCCCAACATCGATGCAAGCAAGGGTAAGTTTTTGCAATCATTTTAAGTCGATGTCGTGTGCCACAGATCCTGAGTACTGACAACAAACTAAAGGTTATTTTCAGACGAGTTCCTACCACCACCCCAACAACCAACCAACCAACAAACCAACCAACCAAAAAACCAACCAACTAAACTACTAACCAACACTGACATCACCACAACCAACCACTCGTCTGTGTTTCATCGATTAAGCATCCGCATTCCACTAACAATCCGCAATCCGTCGGTTATAAGTTGTCAGATCGATCAGATTCTGCCCGCCGCAGCCGCACTTTCTCGAGTATCTCAAGAGCACCCCACACTTCACACACTTCACAGATTCCATAATTACCCAAAAAACATGAGCACATATCAAGGCGAAACAAAAAACCAAATACTTCTCAACACTTTTCGTTTTTGTTTCGTGAGAATCACTTGTTCTTCTGCCGGCAAAAGTTTTGTCGCACTATCTTTGGTTTTTCCGCTTTCCACCTCTCAGTTTTGCTTTTTGCATCCTCCACCCATAATACCCATATAATCAACAATATTTGGTTTTCGATTTGCATTAAACTTGAGTTCCATTCGTTCGCTCTCTTTTCCGTTGGCACAATTCGTATTCGTAACTTGACCATTCAAAAGCCATTTCACGTGTCATTGTTTTTTTCCAACCATTCGAAGCCAGATCCTAAATAAAATACTGCGAAGAGCACACGGCTGTGTATATATGCACCTCGGAGCGTTTGTGTATGTTGTATATATATCATACACACACCAAGTTTTCGCATATAGCCGTATATATGTGGGATTTGCAGTCGGTGAATTAGTTTGTCATCCGACAACGCATTAACCGTCAATCGCAGAGCTGGCCGGAGGGAGCATTAAGTTTCGATTTAGTTGGCATTGTTTAACTCCACGTTTCCCGTAGCCATCCGCCGTTCAATTATCCAAACTCTCGGCGAAATTAGCCTCCTGGCTTACTAATTGGCGACTCCCATCTTGCTCCACATGTAATTGCAACCCCAATCAACTGAAACTAACTAACAACATAGTTTAGTCGTAGTCAACTAACTGCTAACTGGTAAATGGCAACTGTTATCTGTTATCTGCTAACTGGCGACTGTTTAATGCTAACTGTCCTTTAGTAATAGCCTAGTTACAGCTAAAATTTAAACAATCTAAGCTTATTAGCGACAACAAAAGTGCGTAATCTGACGTTACTGGCATGCAAATTGGCATAGTCAACGTGTGTCCGGTTGCACAGCGAGAAAGTGTCCACAACTAAACTAGTTTTCAAAGCAATTACAAATTTAATGAAGTAAACACCTTTCTCACTGTGCTTGGGACCTCTGTTTTGCCACGCCCTAAAAAAAAAAAAAAACATCAACAAAGATCAAACTGCCGTATAATGCCAGTTTTTGTCCTTAATCTAAGCAGAATTTCGAAAGAGAGTAATCGCATTTATATACGTCTATATGTAGAGAGCACCGTAGTAGATATGCCATATATGCATATGCATAAACATATATCCGTGAACGTGTGTGTATATATAGAGTGTGTGTGCTTGGTAGCTATACGTACGGTGTACGGGTATTTTATTTACCGGATAGGACGGCTCACGCTGCACGCCAAATTAATTTTAGAAATTATACGTTTGCAGAGTTCAACATGGTAGCTTGCAGGATAACGGACGCTCGTAACATTGCCGCCAATAATCATCATTTGCACAATCGCAGTACGGGCTCAATTTCCTCTGGTCAAGTGCCTTTAAAAAAGTAAGTACGCTTTCTATAGGTTACTTGCTCTCTCCATCTAATCTGATACGAAATTCTAACCGCCAAACTGCAAAAAAACCTTGTAAATGTATTTATATCTGTAACGTTGTCATCTATCTGTCTACCCATTTCACTCTGATTGGCATCCGCCATATGCACGTTCCACACCGATCTACTATCGCTTCATAGCAATACTGAACATTACCGTGATTATGAAAGCGTTTTTATAGTTCCAGGTCCATCCTGTCATAATCAAAATCGTAAGCAAACTTTTCTCAAACTTTAACAAAAAGTTTTCTTTAGTTTGTTTGGCTTCAGTTAAGTGATTTTCTTAGTTTTGCTCCCCTTTTTCGTTTAGTTTTGTGTCCCTTTTGTATTTAAGGGATTTACTTAATTCTCTAAAACAATTGTTTGAGTTTTAAGTAAGAAAGTATTTTTTGTTTTAATTTATTTTCTAGTTGTGAACTAGGATTTACTTTGTTAGTTGCATATTCTAATTACTGACTACTTTGCTTTTATATGAACAGATTAGTTAAGTAGCTTTTAGTTAAGTGAATATCTTAACTACTCCTGTTTCTTTTGTTTGGCATTCCTTCTTTTGGTTTTTTAACAAATAAAGTAAGAACGTTTTTCTTTTTAAATTTGTTTCCTTTAAATTCCCAGTTCTGTATGATGTTTTCGTAGCTGCATATACTTAACTCAGCCTCGTTTCTTTCCACATTTAGGTACAAACAAACCCGAATATCAAGTCTAACAGCCATTCTCATTGCCATACTCCACTGGATCTGGCCGCCTGATCGCTGCACCAACTGCCACTCCATTTATAGTTCACCGAATCTCGAGGATGGCGATGAGGACGGCGCCGGACGAAGGCGTTCCGTAAGTCGCATTCAACGAAGTCTCGATGGGCGATTCGTATTGGATGTGGAGGGGGGAGTCTCGAAACTGGGTTACTCGCAGCAAACCATGGACTCGGCGGCCAATGTGGTGGACGTGGTGGATGGTGGTCTCTTCGAGCGTAGAAACAGCAATGTTTCCCAGAAATCCTCCAGCGATGATGGTGGATTCCTGTCGCGTCGTAACTTTATCACGGCTCGTGCTTCATGGCGTCGTCCCTTGGTGGCCTCCTCCAGTCAATTGAGTCTTCAGTCAGCGGCAGATTCGGCCAGGGGTTTTCTACAGGGTCTGCTAAAGATCGGAGGAAAGCAGCAGCAGCAGCAGCAGCAGATCCCACTCAATCAACAATCGTATTTCGATGAAGCTGTGAGTGGAGCCCGCTATCAGAATGTTTTGCGACCTTACACCAGCCAAAGCAGCAGTAATTTGTATGGCCATGCGGACCGGAGTAGACCGCTGCATATAAACACCATCAGTGGAAGTCTCAGTCAGCAGCAGCAGCAGCAGCTTTACACACCTTCGAGAATCTCCAGGATATTCTCCAGTTCACCGCAGCAATTGCATCCACATCATCAGCAACTCTTGCTCACCAGTGGCTCCTATCCCACACATTTCAGCGATCTGAGCACTGTGTATCCTCCAAATTCCGCTGAACGTTCGTCGTACAACCTGAGCAGTAGATATAGATACTACTCACAGGAGCTGCCTTCCCTGCGAACCATTCAAGAGGAAACTCGCCGACAGCAGCAGCAGCAACAGCAAAAGCCACACCCTCTGGAAGATCACTTTGTGCCACTCCAGCTGCCATCGCCTCCTTCTTGGCGGAGTTACTACCAATCGCAGGCCAGCTATCGGCCCAGAACTCGCTGGTATCCTCGTCATCATTCGCGTCTATTCAGCAATCGGCAGCAGCAGCATGAGATGCTTTCACCTTTGCCACAGCTGAATCTCAACTTGCGCAACTCCATGAATCCTGGAGGCTTAGAGGCCTCACCCGAATCGCGCTCCAGTTCGAGTGGTTTTGGTTCAAAGAATACCTCCAATCATCCGGGAAGTACCAGTGAATGGAGATTATTGCCGCCTTATAGAGCGCCACCATCGCCGCCCAAACATTCGGGTTATTTTGGTGGACAACAGGCGCAGGGACAAACGCCACATGGTTCGTATTCGTATAACAGGGCCACAACACCGCCTTATACGATGGCCCATTGGCTGGAGATGATCTCAAGACTGAATGCGGCCACGGATAGTAATTTGCCCAAATCCTCGTGTCCCGTGGATGTGGGCAGTGTGGATGGACACTATGAATTCGATCCGGCCACGCCCACTCCCAGTGCATCCAGCATGCTGCGCGAAGATCTCAATTTGCATATAGATACGCATCATCATCATCCTTTTCATCATCATACGCTGGGTCCTTTAAGTGGCAGTCTGCTGCACAGCCACGCCCCTTACGGAGGCGGAGGAGGAGGCGGGAGTAGAAAGCCAAGATCTCTACCAATTCACCTGCCTCGTTACGATAATGTTGAGGTTAGACTTCAAGCCATGAAAGAGGAATTCTATGCCTACCGTAAACGACAAGCAATGCATCAAATGGAGAGCGTTTGCTGAGCCAATGAAGCATTTAATTGAGCCACAGCCGCACCTACGCCCACGACCACGCCGAAAAATAGGCCCGATTTTAGAGATACCCCGAACAAAGTTGGACAGCAGCGAATTTCGAGGCAATCAGACGCTATGACGATATGATATTGGATCAGGCCCCCACAATTCAGAGATGAACTTTAAAAGTTTGGCCCCCTGCAAACTCACAAACTCAAAAACAAACAAAAAAAAAAACAAAAAATTATAAGAAAAACACTAAGAAGCCAGAAACAATTAGTAGGTTTAATCGAGAAGAAAGCTGTGTAAATATATATGGGGATCCCCCAGAAGTTTAAGTATAATATTTAACAACTATAGCAATTATAGCAACATATTATTACAAAAATCGATAAACGTAAAATTGACATTTAAAAGCAAGAGAGTAAATGAAGCAAACATTGTTTGATGACATATGCAAAGAACAAATTACAATTACAATTAACTATTATTTACGAGTATATTAGATATTACTACTTAACGTAACACACAGATCGAGATATGTTAAACATTGAGCATTAAACATTAATTAACAATCCACAAGCGTAAGCCTAAATTATGTTACATTACAACTAAACTAAATTAATACGGAATATACTAGCTTTTAAGCATTTAGTTGTTAACAACTAGAGCAGAGATGATGAACGATGAACGATGACGTGAAATAAAAGCGCTAAAAACGTAATTAAATCGACATATAGAGAAATTGTTTCATAATTAAATTATTTAACGACAAAAAACCTACAAAGCAAAAATAAAAGCGAAATGTAAAACAAAACCAGTTTAACGAAAATTAAATGAAATATAACTGCTGCATATATGTTTACTGTTGACCTACACACGATAATTAACTCGAACAAATATTTATTAACCCCAAAAGTAAGAAACAAACACACACAAAAAATAAACAAATTAAATGAAAACAAAAGGAAAAGGAAAACGAGAAAAACGATGCTAATGGGAAACTATTCTTCCTGGTTTGACTCACACAGCCCTAGACTACGTTGATGCAACTAAAAGCTAGGAATGTAGGGCAGAAAATGGGTCCTTATATCCAATCCGAGATCCCAAAAGTTTTCTAGATTCCACAGAGAGCGATCGATGGATGATTTGGTCTTAGGTTATAGGTCAGTTGTGTAAAGGACAGCTCCCCGGATGATGCTGCTTAGTTGAAGTTGAGACGAGGCGTTTCTGTTTCTTAAGTAATTGTTAACGATAAACGATAATTGATTAACGATAATCATGTCTAAAGATCAAATTGTACGGAATGATAGTTTGACACAACTTGACGCCAAAACACTGCCAGAGCGAGAGATGCGAAAAGACCGCGAGTGTGTGTATAACGTATGTAAATTACAGAGCATATAAAAAAATATAATACTTTTACGATTAACGATAACGATAATAACGATTAACGATAACACTATTCAGGGGACGGTTGGAGCGCGAAACAAATCAAGAAATCAACTACGAATCAACCGACTAATATGATCTCAAGCATTTCTTTTTGCCTTTGACTGCAATCAAACTGCAGTTTAGCGAACCGATTTCCCTGGTTTCTCTATTTTCCACCCTAAATATGAGCCCACTGTCTGTCTGTCCGTCTGTCACTTCTTCTAACAAGCGCTGCCTTCAAGTCTTACCCAAAATCAGATAGGTTTATCACAATTTAGTAAGACTTACAGCTATGCGCTTGTTACATTCTTAAGCCACAGAGAATATTGTATTTAAATTGAATAACTAGGATAAAAGTTCAGAGAAGGGAGGAGGGAAACTCGAGTTGTGTTGCATGTATTTTGTAAATGTTGAGGGTATTCAAGTGAATAAGTTGATTTTTGTATTGCATAGGACACCCACACTCTGACACACACACACACACACACATTAAACGTTTAACTAGAATGAAATAAATTAATTAATTAACTGAGCATTAACGGAAAGCGAACGACGTGAGAAAAGCGCAAGCGAATAATTGCGAAATGACAGCATAAATTGAATTTTAATTGAGCGATGGAGCTAAGAGAGATGTTAGGCGCAGGACTTTAAGGCAAATAGATACAAATATGATTATTTATACGAGAACATGTATATGCGGTACGTATATATGCATATAGATACTGGATTACATGGCATGTACATTAAGTAAGACGAATACATTAAAAACTAAGTTAAGTAAATCTAACGCTTTAGTCTGCCACTTTGATTTTTGGACAAGGTGCGCCAGTTAACTTTTCGACTCGACTCGACTCAAATGAAATGAAATGAAATGAACAAACAAATAGGAACTATCAAAGGAAAACAAAATAAGAAATATAAGAAAAGGAAATCTATATTCTTTTGCACCTCCTATCACTTCCTTTACCATTTCGAAGACATTTCCCCGCTCCATACACCACCTTACCGACTTTCGCCACAATTTTCCCTGCCATTTTCCACCTTTTCACACCTTTTCCCCACTGCAATTCCAATTCAGCATATATAAATCGTACAAGGATAAATCAGTTTAGAACGAAATATATTGTAATTAATACAGACACACAATTATAAAGAGAAATTAGCAAAATGAACAAAATTTTTAAACAAATAAAACTTACAAAACAAAGCAAAAAAAAAAAAAAAAACAAACAAACAAACAAAAAAAAACCAAACAAAAAACGAATAAAAATACAAAACTTGAAATTGATCAAATAAAACCATAAACCTGTGTTTTCGTTTTCCCGGAAGCTTGGCTTAATTGGATGCCCCTTTGCTTCCGCAAAAATATCACTCATGCGCCAGCGTGGACAACCTGGAGATGACGCTCTGACATTGGGGCAATTAAAGTAATGAAATTCACATATTCTTCTCTATGAATAACTTACGAATGTGCAGTGTATATGGAGAACTTAAAGGAACAGTGTTTTCCAATGAATGAACTTTAATGGGAATCTATTGCGAAAATTGCTTAATCTTGTGCTGGGATAGTTCAAACTTAAGGCCAAATGCTTTTTGCAACACTTTGGCGATCGCCTAATTATTTAAGTGGATAATCGTCTGCGAAAGCGAATTGTGGGGGAGACGTCGACGTTGGCCAGACAAAGGAGACCTCATCAAAGCAGATGGCGTGGGCGTGTGTCAAATGTCAAATGCAGTCAAACGATTGACAGACGAGAGAAATGAGTAGATCTTTTTGCTCAGCAGCATAGGAAAAGTGATCAACTGGGATCGGGGTTGGTCGGCTTTACAGTGAACTACACAGTAAATAAATTATTATTATTTTGTAAAAAACTCCCCTAAATCAAAAAAAAATTAGTTCAAGAATTATTATCATTATTTGTTGATTTAAGATGTTTTGACAAATTTTGTATACAATGTAGCATGGTTAATACAAATGTATATATTTATTGTTTGATAGTAAAACAGTTGATCAAGTATTATTATGACCCATGATCTAATTATTTTGATAACATAATATAGAACTTATATTTTTGAAAATATATATATATATAGATGTTTCGACAAGCATTTACCATGTTGATATTGTTTTGATGGCAAAACATGTGCTCTGGTATTATTTTCCTCTAATCTTTTAATTTATGTTCTCAAACATAAAGTAAGCTTTATCATCCTATTCAGTAAATATTCACCATATTCTTTCTGTGTAACATTCATCGCCACAAAAGCTCGGCCTCATCTGTCACTCGTTCTGCAGTCTGATCGCGATTCGGTCTCGGTTTTCAGTAGCGCTTCTCCAGCCGCTCTGTTCAGTTCGCGACCCTCGAAAGAGCGCCACAAACATAATATACCCGTCATATACTTAGTACAATATATACCTGAACGGAACTGCGCACAAAGATATACTAGTAGTACCCAACGGATCGGGTTTCGTGCGCCTTAGAAAATCCGAATTCCGCAAGAGAGCTACGCCGCTTCGTTTGGGTCCAATTGACCTGATTTCAGGTTGGGGGTTTTAATTTGATTTTGCGCATTCTGGGCAACGCGGAAACATTATGCAAGAACACCGCGCGTGAGTGACCGAGTGCACAACAAGTGCAGCAGATTTATAATCGTAAGAGTATATATATATCTATTAAAATGCCAACGAAACGCAGCAGAACATTCAGGCAATGCCGATCAACGCTGCTGCAGTTGGCTCTTTTGCTGGCGACTTTCTTAATGAGTATATCCTGTACGAGCGGTGCCCGCGATCACCGAAGGCAGACCAACTTGGAGGCCAAAGTTGGCTCCCACGTGGTCTTCAACTGCTACATCGACTTCCCTTTCGATGCCCCCATACCGTACTTGGTGCACTGGAGCAAGGATGTAAGTCGCAGTTTAATCAGAAAGAAAATAAATATAATATGGTAGTCTTTTTGATTGTTAAATAATCATTTTGGAAAAGAAATCAGTTAAATCCTTGTGTTAAAACTATTTCTTTAAACAATATCAACGAAAAGTCATAAGATTAAAAATTAATTAGAAAAATTTAAATAGCAAACAGTTTTTTGTTGTTTTACATATAATTCCGGAACAGAAAATATTTTTATCCGAAAGCTTTAGAACTATTTCTTCAAAAAAAGAAGTCATTAGATTAAAAATTAAATGATTTGTAACTTTGTTATTTGAGGATTTCACATATAACAAAAATAGATTTTTATTGAAAATGTTGAATGTCAAAGAATATATTTATCCAGAATATTGAGCAATGATTTGAGACATGTAAACAGCAAGCTGATTTTCTTTATCTGTGCAGGCACACTCACTTATTTATGGCTCACGCCGACGCGCACGCAGTTCTTAAATGAAATTGTCGAAATTATTAATTTATCAGACACGTAGGTGGCCTGGACTTCGACTGACTGCCTGACTGACTGCCTGACTGACTGACTGACTGGCCGACGGACTGTGGGAGGCCAGTTACAGGTCCAGTCCGGAATGCTTGGTTAGCCTTAATTGCGTCTGCTGGCCGTTGAGTCTGCTGGTGCAGCGCAGCATGGAACGCGGCTCTCACATTCATTAAAAGGGTCGGATTTTACGACCGCACTGGGAAAATAGCGGTGATCAAAACATATTTTGCAAATCAATAAAGGATATTATAAACCAATCTGTTTAGTGATCAGATCAAAAGTGATTAAAATAAGATAAGACAATATAATCTTGGGTTTTAATTGTTGTAATACGAAATTGAGATGAGTAAATTTCTTTATTAAAACGGATAATCAGAGGTAATGCAAACTCATAAAATTAAATAAATTCCAATGAAATCCTTTTTAAGTCTTTTAAATTGTTACCATCCATTTGTTGAAACAGAAAATATTAATGGCTTAAAAATAAAACACTTAAATCTATTCTGCAATAATTTAAACTGCCAAACCAAGCATCCTTTCAATTATACTGATTAACTATAAATTATTTTTATTTCTATGAAATTGAAAGTTTCTCTGTGTTTTAATTACTCGCTTTCTAAAAATAACAATGCTAAACCAGAATAAAATAAAAAAGGACTTTTTAAAAATATACAGTTTCTTTAATTTATTTCAATAAATAAAGCACCTATTTGCTTTTTAAAATCCGGTCCATTTGACTTTTTTATTCATTATTTTAATTATTAATTTTTTAAGTTAGCAACTCTAAACCATAGTAAAAATTTAAAGATTTTTGAATATCCAATGTTACGGTTTAAGTTGTCATCAATCATGTGTGGCTTAATTTAATCTATTAAAAAGTCCCTTTTTATAATTTGTTATATATAGTGCCAATTTTTTATTTGAGCTTAGTACATTTTTTGACAAGTGCAGTCCGCCATTGCATCGCAGTAAATGCAATCGTCGTGCCAGTGGGGGTGGCTCCCCATGCGGCGAAGGGTGGTCGAGGTGGTGTTGGTTGTGTGTTGTTGGTTGGTGGGTCCCCGCCCTTGGCTACTAATTAAAGCGCAACCACATGCAGTCGATGCAGTCGGGGGGCATCGCATCCTGGCTGCCTCTGCCTGCATTCCAGCCATCCTTCTGCTTCTGCTTTCGCTTCCGCTATGGCATTTAAATTTAATTTGACGCGACGCGACGAGAACTGAACTGAACTGATTTCAGTATCACAAACACTTCAAATTACCAACACATTGCGCGGCGGCAAAAACAAAACGCAAAAAAAAAAAAAAAAATAAAACGCAAACGCCGAAGAGTGTCAGTGTGAAGTGTGACATCAAAGACAGCGGGGTAAGTGAACCAGTTGAAATCAATTTGAATTGGATTCAATCGAATTGAATGGCTGGCATTTTGTTGACAACTGTGAGTAATGCAATTTAATTCAATTGCAAATTCATTGCAATCCTCGCAGCAGACAATCAGAATCAGCATCAGAATCAGCACCAATATCAGAATCAGAATCGACGGACAGCAAATATGCGCGCGTTTGTATTTAAATCAAGTGAATTACTATTCATCGCACATGCTCGTCATCAGTCATCAGTGGATCCCCTTAACCCTTGCTTCCATTCACATTTTCACATCGGTAATTTATGTTTTTTAACTATTTAGATGCTTGCCTAATTTACTTGTGCCACTCTGCTCTTGTTCTGATTTTGTTCCGCTTTTTCTCGGTGGTCACTCCCTTTTTCTAATTGTGTTTTCATGCTTTTTGTCCACTCGGTCAGCGGGTCATGATGTCATTTTGATGGATACACTTTAATTGCGCTTGAAATCGGTTTAGTTTTTCTCTCCGCTATGGAATGGCGGATAATTAAACAAATTCGTAGTCTGCATAATCTGCCTGATTTATGGCATTTCAGTTCATTTTCCATATATATATATACACATACATTTTTTAATGTCTGTCTGCAAGCGAATTCTATATTGTAGAGCAGCGACTGACTTTCACGGCCATTTCGAGGCTGGGTTGCAAATTTTCGCGCCGCAACGACGGCAAAATTACCGGATAAATCAAGTTACGTTTGTAATTTGTTAGATAATGCTGATAAATGTGTGTGCGGCGGCAGACGACACTTGACACACAGTTGGGTGTAGTGTACGTGTACGTGAACGTGAACGTGTACGTGTGCACATAATCATAGTGTTATGGGTTCTCGGATAGGCGGATCTTGAGTGCATCATAATCTACTCAAGGCGGTTGGTTTTGCTTTTCTGCCCTGCCATGCCATAAAACGGCAATGCGATGTGCGATATGCGATGTGGGTGACATTGATGCCAGACGGTGCATCTTGATGACTGTTTCCCGATCTCAATTAAAACACAAACCTAATGTCAATAGATCAACTGACACCCACACTGCATCCGA